AAAAAGTGGCGAAGGTAGTGTATTTTTTATTTTGAAATCTCATCGCTAATAAAGGCAAAAAAATTTTTAAAATTTCGGGAAAATTCGGTTTCTTTCGTTTATCTGCGAATATGCAAGAAAAAATCTATTTTTAGAGAATCGATTTTCATATACCCGATTTTATGTCTAATGCATAACCCATCGAGTAATTAAAACCCTACATCTCTCATTGCTCAGGGCTCAAGTCTAAAGACCCAAAGCCAAGACCCAGCACCTGCCAGTATATTAACAGGCGAATATCCAGCAGTAGGCTCTAATGGAATTTGAAATTAGTCACAGTACGAAGGATACATCGGGTAAAAAGGGATGAAGACTAAAGACGTATAATGTATTTACACCCAAGATAGAATGGATGCGTGATTGCCAAAAGCAAGGACGGCGTACAGGGCCGCATTCAAGGCTACCACCGAATGATGGACTACCACCAACGTGTTGTAAAACAAAGATGACAGTATTTAACAGAAACAGAAACTTAACAAATTACTCAAATACACTTAACAACAACAACAGCAACAACCAAACAAGGTGAATACGAAAACACGAGCACGCAGTGATACACGCGACGGACGGTGGCCTGAGTGCAACTCTGCCTGTCCTGCCCCAGCCCCGCGCATTATCCGCCAGGCAGCCGCTTGAAATTTAATGGCGAATTGACCAATAAGAGGTGTTGTCTCCACCTGTTACCGAAAGATCACGCGCTAACTGTTATTATTTACATCTCATCTGGAATTTGGATTCAGTTTAGTGGGTATACCAAATAGTACAAAACACAGAGCGCGAAAGTACGTTGGAGACTTACGTACTCTGATATACCTGTATCGTGCGTACGTGCCTGGATATAGGCAGTCCGTTATACACTGTACACGTTCATTTTCCTAACTGTATAGATTATTTTTTTTATGCTAAAGGCGCTCGCTAAATTAACATTGAGGTGACATATAGTTTTAAGTCCTAAATGTATCAATAATATGAACATCATGCTTATGTACCACAAATACGAAGCACCGCACATATAAAGCGACTGGGAGCGTGGCGTCTCCTGTAATCCAGCTACTTGGAGGTCGGGTTCAGAGGATGGTTTGAGGTCGGGACTCCTGGCACAGGGCGTTTCGCGTTGACCGGGCGTCCACACTAAGCTCGGCGTCGATATGGGCACCCTGTGGGAGCTCGGGGTGGCCAGGTCGGCTAAGGAGGGGCGAACCGGGCCAGGGGGGAAACCCAGCAGCCAAAAGTCCCCGCGTTGTGCAGTAGTGGGATCGCGTCTGGGAGTGGAAACCCTGTGACAGCCCAACCAATAAAGCTAGACCTGGATCTTTTTGTTCCTATTTTTTATAACAATAATAAGATTTCAATAATTTACAACTACATTTTATTAGCATTTCGTTTCAAGAACTTTTATCAAAAGCTTTTAATTCCAAATAAGCTTCAATATGTACATCTATCGCTGCTTGCCTTTACTGCGAGGTATATAAATGTAATTTCTATATAATTTCCTGTTGAGAAGCATCTGACACGGGCGAAACGAACATGAAGTTTGGTTACTGAGTAACAGATGGCGCCTACTACATCTAATAGTCTAGGCGTTTTAGAAGTACAACTGAAGGACTAAAGTTCGGTCAAACTAAATATGCCTAACCAGACAAGCTTTGTGTTTCCTTGTAGATTTCTTGGTAAATGTCTAACTAAGGTACACCAGATATTATTGATGAAAAAAGTACTTCAGATCCTAGTTTTTGGGTGTATATGAAAGAAGCGGGAGCCCAACAGCCAAAAGTCCGCGCGTTGTGCAGTAGTGGGATCGCGTCTGGGAGTCGAAACCCTGTGGCAGCCCAACCAATAAAGCTAGATCTGGATCTTTTCGTTCCTATTTTTTAAAACAATAATAAGATTTCAGTGATTTTACAAATACATTTTAGCATTTCGTTTCAAGAACTTTTATCAAAAGCTTTTAATTTCAAATAAGCTTCAATGTATACATCTATCGCTGCTTGCCATTACTGCGAGGTATATAAATGTAATTTCTATATAATTTCCTGTTGAGAAGCATCTGACACGGGCGAAACGAACATGCAGTTTGGTTACTGAGTAACAGATGGCGCCTACTACATCTAATAGTCTAGGCGTTTTAGAAGTACAACTGAAGGACTAAAGTTCGGTCAAACTAAATATGCCTATACGGACAAGCTTTGTGTTTCCTGTAGATTTTTTGGTAAATGTCTAGCTAAGGTACACCAGATATTATTGATGAAAAAAGTACTTCAGATCCTAGTTTTTGGGTGTATATAAAACAAGCGGGACTAAAGATGAGCGCAAATATGAAATTTCTGAAACTATTTTACTATATAATAGGGAGTTTTTGTGTCTATACGTTGTGGGATCTTTCCAGATTTGATTATTTCATCAGTTTTTGTGTTGATGAATATTTCTAATAACCAAATTTGAATGTGTGGCTTCGAACGCGGTATGTATAGGACCCGTTCGATTCTGCAAAAGGTGTTTGTACCTTTGAAAACCTAGATAATATCAACAATATTCTGCAACTAACCCATTTGTGGGCATTTTTAATCTCATTTCCACTGTTGACAACCCAAACTTAGTGTCTATTCGGGCAGAGAAACAATTAATACTGGTGTAGCTAAGCTAGAGAATTACCGATTTGTTTGTTTTTATTGTATTTCCATCAATTAGAATTGAATATTCTCACATAATCATAATGGTTTGTTTTACACTAAATCATCTTCAAAAAATTGATGGTCCAAGAACTGTTGCTTATTCTTCTCCCTTGCTATTGCAGTCTTTGTCCTCCTGTACATCTTAAAAAGACGTGTTCCGTCCACTGAACATTGCATTGAAGGCCAGTTTAAGAAACTCAAGGATATTTATCAATCAGGATACATCCCGCGTCAAGTAAACCTAATGTAATTTAACATTATTAGTGAGAAAATTCGGTTACTGATAATTAAATTTTTTAATTCTGGGAAATCAAACTCAGAAATTGCAACTTTGTTAGACTTATCGCGGTACAGTGTGAGAAATATTGTTAGAAGATATAACGTAACTGGTTCAGTTAATATTAAGCCACGATATGTGAAAAAAAAGTAATATCACAAATGCCGACCGAAGAGCATTAAGAAGAACAATCGTGAAAAACAGGCGTGCCAATTATTTACAATTTAGTGCTCTGTGGAGTGACGCTGTTGGAAGGAGAATTTCGAGGTCCACAACTCATAGAGAGGCCCACAAACTGCGATATAGCACTTGCAAGGTAAGTTAAGTATAAAAAAAGTGAAGTAAAAACCCTAAAGTTGCACAACTTGTTTATAGGTCAAAGAAAAGCCACTATTAACTCCACTGAAAAGGAAAGTCGGCTTAGATGAGCTAAAGAACATAGGTAATGGACACCTCAACAATGGTGTGCAATACAATGGAGTGATGAGGCCCGATTCGAAGTTTGTGTTGGTGACAGTCGCAGTAGAGTTATTCCCAAAAAAATGAAGCATTCTATGTTGACTGTCTGAAGAAAAAAGTGAAATGTCCAGCATCCATTATGGTCTGGGGCAGTATGTCATCAAAAGGAGTAGGAAAACTTCATTTTATTGATGGAAATGTGGATACAAACAAATATTTGGCAATTTTAGACGAATCGCTTTTACCAGTGATGGAAGAATGTTTGACATCCAGCCAAGATTTTGTGTTTCAGCAAGATGGTGCAGCATGCCATACCTCAAATGGATGGAAGAAAATAATGTACCACTTTTCAAATGGGTGTCTTGGAGTCCAGATCTGTCACCTATTGAAACTTTGTGGCACGAGATGAAAAAGGTTCTACGACAACATCCTGCTCGTACAATCACCGAACTGAGACAAAAGCTTCAAGAAATATGGGATTGTTTTACACCAAATTTTTGCCAAAACTTGGTTAACAGTATGCCCCAAAGAATTTCAGTCGTGATAAAAAATAAAGGTGATGTTACCCAATGGTAACCTTTCAATTGTTGCTTTGTTAACTTGGCGCATTTATTCGCACATTGTTTATTTGTTCAGATGTTCTATTAGTTATAGGTCTAACTGACTTCAAATATGTATTTTTTACGACTAGAGTGTATCTAAAATGGTTTTGAGAAAATATATTGTTTTAAAAGTAAATATTTTCGTCATGTTTAGTTTATAAAGGCATATTTTGGTACAAATCTTGAAGTGGGCCAACTGAAGTGGGAAGGGGCTCGTGTTTATATCGAATCGTCTTGTTCCGTATACATATTTAATGAGTTGTAATGAGAGCAGGGACATCTCAAGTTATGTATGGTCCCTGGGCACAGAGGATGCTCGGGGTCTACGGCTGAAATGGCCCAACACCAAGTCCGGGGCCCCACTTTAAAAGTTTCGGTTGACTTTTGAGCATTTAAGGGACCGCAACAAGCCCTGTGGCCATAGGGTAAAGACGAAATAACTTGAAAGTTATTACTTCCGATTATCTCTCAATTTTCAGCAGACACTCTGACCAGATGCCGTTTGAAAAATGAAAAATAGTTACCTTACATTATAGTTATGTCAAAAGGGGAAGTGCTGTGATACATACAGCCTTGTCAAATCGAGTAAATTAAAAATGCTATTATAAGTTGTTTTTAGATTGACGGATTATGACAGTCATCGAAATATGCTTATTGGCGATCATCAGCACGGCCTAGGTCTTCAGATAAGACAACGAACTAAAGCAGAGCAGACAGTATCCTCTGTCAGAGGTACAATATCTATCCAAATACACAGGTACAATCTGTTATCATAATCAAACATTGTATAAAATAACTGCATCTCAATCCGCATTGACAGCCAAGTTACCACTGTGATCGCTTAATTTCGCCCATTCTGGCAATTTACGACACTAAAGAAGGGCAAGGCAACTAGCCTTTGCAATAAAATTGATAATTTACAAAACATAAATATTTATTAATTAACAAGTACACGCTTCACTTTTTCTTCCTTTGATAGCTCTGTTCTTCAGCAGATGGTGGTTGCTGTGCGATCCAATCCAACGCCCGCTGGATTGCCGGTGGAATCGGTGGTGGGGTAGGAAGATGTTCTCCTTGGGGTTGGAAGCCATTTTCATCGGCCAGGTACGTCAGTTGAATGATTTGACCTTCGGGTGAAGTGTACTGGAACTGACCCTGGGCTACTTGGGCTTCCTGTTCTGGCTGGCCTGCGTTCTTTAGGTAGCCCTGCTCTTCGGCTACGATACCATTAGCTGTTTCGTAGCTGCAAAAAGTGGAGCAGGATTTATTTTCATATTCAGAAAATGTGATAGAGATAAGAAATAAGAGATAAGAGATAAGGTAAATTAAATCTATGTAACAGATTAAATAAATTAGCATATGTATGAACTGATGCTGCAAAAAAGTATCTAAATACTTTAAAAATGTTATTACTGAAATCTCTAACCCGTCTCGTTAGTTGCAACGATTCTAGGATTAAGCTGATTAGTACAAACCTCAGGTGGTGTCCGTTTTAAAAAACTACCATCAATCATTGACTTTTTAAAGGCGTATGTTCAACTACAAACGAGAAGCAAGACGAAACAGTAAGGAGAGTGAGTAAGGCCTAAAAGTGTTGATCAAAATGTATCTGAATTGTCCAACGAAATCACAAAACGATAAAGAAGAACGGAAGAAGATCAAACCTATTTTTGGTACTTACATGATATAATGGTATAATAATTAGTAAGTGATGTTAAAATTCACTATTTTCATATCTTGATTTGAATTTAGAGTCATCATGGGCTCAAGTTGCTTTCGATATACTTGCCAGGCTTTGCCTCCCCACCACTACTACTACTATTAGCTGCAGAATTATTAGAACTATTCGTTTAGTGCTTCATCATATATTTTATAATTTACGTTCATTATCAATGCAAAGTAAAAAATAATAAATGAAGCTGGCGCAAATTAACGGATTAACATTGACAGCCGTGACCCCCGTTGTGATCGATTTAATGAATATTATTTGAACATGAATAATCTTCTGAAGGCAATCACTTGGCACCTCATCATAGCTTCTCCATCACATTAGCTAATGGATGAACAAATGTAATTATAATATTTATGAAGTATATTTCCGAAACTGAATATTAATAATAACCGATAATTCGAGTATTGTCATTGAAATATCCATAAAAAATGATTGTCAATACAAAATTTCGACAACAAAATCCATTGGGGTCAGCAGGCTAGGATGTATGTAAGTTTAGTATTTATGTATCAATTGAAAATTGCGATCCCGTAAAAATGTTATAATGAGACTGACTTTTTGAACTTGGTTCTGGTTTGTATACTTTTAAGTACCCCATGTATGATATCAAATAGTCGGAAGCGTTTCAATAATTATAAAAATCAACAACAAAGGTTGCAAGTAATTATAATTATTATTAAATAATATTTTTCTGGATAATAATAAAAATCGATACCTCAAGTTAATAATATCATCGACATAGCTATAACAAGTTTCATGATTATCGAATGTTTCTGCAGTAAAGTGTATTGGGATTGACAAGTATTTGCATATATCAACATGATATCCATTTACGATACAAAAATTAGAATAAGCGGCATAGATTCAAAGAAGTTGAAGGTATCGGCCGTGAACTCCACCAGTAACCAACTTAATGGATGTCATTTAAAAATGGATAATCTGAGTTGGAAGGCAACAAATAAGTTATACAAATCATTTTACACTTCAGTGTTTCTTTCCAATCACGTTAGCTGGTGGACGAAAATATGTTGGTAATTACAATAATTATGAAATATGATTTTTCGATATTAAGAGAAATCATAATTCAAGTTATGTCATTGAAATAAAACCTAAATCCTAAAGTGTGTTGAGTATGGATATATCGATTAAAATATGTCAGTTCATAAAAACTATTTATTTGAACAAAGCTGGATTTCTGTGCAAGGCAATCAAGACATTTTTATAATGATCCAGACATATGTAGGTATATAAAATGTAATTAGGTCATCTGTTGGTTTTTAGTGGTTATACTCATTTCGTCAAAAAATATTTATTTTATCTCCAACTTGTCAAAAATACTTGCTCATTACTTTCAATCTTACGAAAGGTACGTTACTGTCATACACATCAAGTGCATTACCTCTATACATTAGCCAATGCTTACAACGTAGCTATTGGAACTTGAATAACGCTATCACATGCATCACAGAGCTCTTTTCATTTTTGTGAAGATCGTTATAATTTTACGTCGCATCTAAATTATGCAAATGGTAAAACAAGTAATTTACACCTGGGTAGTAAGAACCGTGTAGAATTGCGTTTTTCAATAGCAAGGAAAATCTCTAGGAGGCAAAGGATATGTTGCGCCAGTATGGATTTTTGCCATTATATAGTATATGAATAGACTGAAATATCATTTAGAACAGATACTTTAAATAGAGAATTTTCAATCATTTCCCGGAAACTAAGATAAAAATTACTCATATTTTATTGTCTCCTGAACAACATTGTTATGGAACATTTCCACGATGGGAACCTAAGCTCATTCAAATATGCCTACGTTTTTGGACAGTAGCAGTAGTGTTTCATATTTCAATCGATTCGATGTCACAGTTCACTATAATATTTCCAATTTTTTATTTAGTCGATTGAGTATTGACTATCTTTTCCTCCTATTTTCAAGGAAATTGTATACTCTTGTAATAATGCTGAAAATTTCAATTATGATCCTCGTCCTTCATGCACTGTATCAATGTGACTGGGTACAAACGTTGAGTACACCTTAGTCAATTGAAACATATGCTGCTATGCTTTGCATATGATACATATTGTGAAAACATCTTTTTGTATTTTCTTTATTCTAATATATCTACATACCTTTGTAAAGAAGTGCTTTTGACCGTAAGTTCTAGGGTCCATTCACATTGATTGCATTTGGAATTAGGAATCCACTCTACAAAATCTAAATACAACCCTGATTCTACTCGACTATGTCTGTTTACGAGACAATCTTTCACCAGTTTCAGAAACGAATTCAAAGTTTTCAAAACTGGGATCTGAGTAAATATTACTAAGTGACCTCTATAAGTGGCTCTAATTCACCACATTTTTTTTTTAATTTAGCCAGTCTTTATATACAGGGTGGCCCATCCATGTATAGACGGAAGATTACTCATAGACAAATACATTTTGGGAAAATCTATTTATGGGATGTTTTACATGACATTTGAGCGCATATTTCTATAATATTGACCACTATATAGGGTGTTCCAATTTAGACATACATATCAAAGTTGTGATTTTTCAAACAGAACGCCTCAAATTTTATTGCATATTTGGATAAACCAATTCAATAGAACAACATTGATATGACATACTATGGGGTTTTGGTAATTACCTACTGAGATATAAGGTGTTTTGTCTAAAAAAAACACCTACTTCGGCAACCCCTCATTCCGCCACTTTGAAATTTGGAGTGCTGAATTTTGTATAAAGAAAAACATACCTACCTCAGCTTTTATCTTATTTGTTAGTTTTTAGAATTTTAATTTTTGTTCATACAGGGTGGTCAAAAATGGAAATTGTAGTTTTTCTCAAAAATTTCAAATGCATCACCCTGTACATTTGTGCAAGTTTGGATTCAATTTTTCATAAGCTTTTTTTAATACCAGACACATAACGGCTTTTCGGCTATTTTTTCGGTTTTTAGCACGTCTTTTATGGAACGGCTTAATTCCATAAAATATCGCATCACCCTTGGAAACAAATAAATTGTTGATTAGTTACAAACTGTTAAATTTAGCTTTGTGAACATTATAACAAAAACTTGTTTGAAAATGATTTTTTCTAAACCTTATCAAAAATTGAATCCCAACTTGCACATATATACAGGGTGAAATTTTTGAGAAAAAGTACAATTCGCGTTTTTGACCACCTGGTATGAGCAAAAATGAAAATTTGAAAAAGTAACAAATAGGATAAAAGCTGAGGTGTGTAAGTTTTTTTTTATGCAAAATTCAGCATTCCAAATTTTAAAATGGCGGACTGCGGGGTTGCCGAAGTAAACGGTTTTTCTGGACAAAACACCTTTCATCTCAGAAGCTAATTACCAAAACTCCGTAGAATGTTATATCAATCTTCTTCTTTTTTCCAAATATGCAATAAAATTTGAGGCATTCTATTTAAAAAATCACAACTTTGATATGCAGGTCAAAATTGGGACACCATGTATAATTGCCAATATTTTAGAAATGTGCTCTCGAATGTCATGTATAGCATGGCATAAATAGATTTTCCCAAAATGTATTTGTTTATGAGTAATATTCCGTCCAAACATGGATGGGCCACCCTGTATAGACAGAACATTACCAACTTAGACTACGAATATACAAAAATGGTATATTGTTTTAAAAACTATATTTATTTTCTTGACCATATACGTATATGTAAAAAAATATTTGGATACAGCACTAAGTAAAATTTTTATTTATAAATTAGCTTTATTTTTCATTTTACGCAGTGCAGTCTGTGAGAATCAAAAGTTTGCTTTTTCTTAGAATATCAAGCAACCTAAAAAATAATAATTTTTAAGCACCGAAATAGTTTTTAAGACATTAAACCGCTTGCAACTGTAAAATAGTCAACTTTACAAACGTTACTAAAAACCATTTATTTAAGTGATCAGAAATAAACGCAGTGTGGCGTTGCTAGATTGTGACAAAATATGCAAGTGCACGGTAGGCTGACAGTATGCGATATTTAGAATTCTTGATTATTTTTAGATTACTTCAAGTAATCGCTAGCTTCCTAGATCGATCGCCTAATTTACAGGTCAATAACAGTTCTTTAGTGTTTAGGATAATTGAGTCACTATTATCATAATCGGTGCTGTAGGATGTGATTTATAGCTTTAGAAGAAAATTCAGGGAAAATGTAGGTAATTTGTTTGTCAACTAGAATTGTTTCTCCCTAACTGATCTATTGATGAGTTTCATGGTATCCAGAGACCTTATTTGAATAGGTGTTGAGCCTATACGACCCGAAAGCTTCGCATTCATGGAAGAAATTTTCCAACCTGATTTTTATTTACTATGCCAAAACTGGCGAGGAAGTATTGTAATCACGGAAAATTTCGGAATTGAGATATGTTTTTTGGATGTTATATGACATGTACATCACGAAAAACCACATTCCACTAATTTCCATCGGTCTGTCTGTCGGTCTGTCCGCTAATTTTATAGCCGCCTATAAAC